CGGTAAAATATGCGTGTAGAAAACGGCTTATGCCACAATATGATAGCAACAAGTAGTCAAGATAGTCTGATTAGCTTCGGTTGCTATGCTAACATCACCTGTAGAATGCCAGAGAAACTTTCATAACAGCGTTGTGATGCCAAACAGCTTTCAGACTAAAACACATTCACTGATGGGGATGGGGGATATTTATCAGCTGCTTGTGTGACAGTCAGACAATGAAAACTTTACAGCGGCCGCGAGTTAACGGGAGAATAAACTCCGGTGCACGAGCAGCACTGCAGCGGGCAGTAATGCAGCTGAACCACATTAATAAACAATGCACCACGGCTCTCTGGAGAAAGGGACAAAGCTGGAGAAGTAGTTCTTTAATTGAATCTGGCTTCGTATAATTAAAAACTACCCGACGCAGTCCTCTATTGATGTTGTTGTGAGCGGTGTTGCGGAGAAAATCAGCGACGTAAAACGCCGTGTGGGTCATAAGAAGGCACGCAAACAGTTACGTCATGACGCAAACGATGACGCAATGATGCAATAATTCACCTTTGAACCTAATTCACCTTTGAACCTGCACCTGTAACAATGAGTGGACCAAAGAAAAGAAAAGTAAACATTGAGTGCCGAGTGTATAATGAGGAGTGGACAGCTAAATATTTTTTTACCAATCTGCTACTGGCCCGGCCCGCCTGTCAAATTTAAAACTCATAGTGGCCCCCGAGCCAAAAAGTTTGCCCACCCCTGTGATATAACCTACCTACCTTTATATTGATTTTATAGGTCTTAATCTATTTATTTGTATTTCTGTTGTTCCTATATGTTCACTTTGTTTTATGGGGTTATATATATTATTTTATATTGTTGTATCGACTCAGTTGTCTTGTGTCTTATCTGTCAGAGAGAAACCATTATTTATTTTATTTGTATTATCATGCATTTGACCTCCTTGTGTCTCTTAACCTGATCACATGTTATATTTTGCTGCATGTACCTTTTAAAGTTCTTAACAAATAATCTGAGAGGAATTTCATTTTTAACTTGTGATGTGTTGTTTTGTAAATCACTTTGAGCGGCATGAGTTGTATGAAAAGTGCTATATATATATAAATAAAGCTTTATGATTATTATAATGTGATATGATTGATATGCTGTGCTCACCATATGGTGTTGATGGCTCTCTGGTTGTCTCCAGCGTGGATGAACGCGTACGCTTTGATCCAAACGGACAGCCACTCCAGGTTGGGGATGCTCTGAATCACATCCATCGTCATGGAGGCCACCTCGGCTCCTTTCACCGAGAGGGAGAGGAGCCCTGCAGGAGGAGAGAGAGAAAGGTCTTTAATGAGACTCTAACAAGTGCATTAGAGCAAGGCCTAAAAACCTTTCTTTAAAAAAAAGCCTTTGATTAAACTTGTGTTTCTTTCCATTACGCCTCCTGTAGTAATTTGGGATGACTTTTAGCAATGAAAGGTGCTTTACGAATACATTTGATTATTATTATTACATTAGAGCAAGGGATTCACTGTCCAAGCAGAGAGTGAACGTGTGTGTGCACGTATAACAAAAGCTTTCAAATGTGAAGAGCGAAGGTGGCCACAGTAGCTATTTCTAGCTGTTTCTGTGAGAGTTCATACCGATGATGGCGTCCAGCGCGAGGGGGCACTGTCTGAGCACCTCTTTGTAGCTCGTCACCGCAGAACGCTCCTGACCTGCTTTCCTGTACAGGTTAGCTAGCATCATGTTGATCTGAGGGAAGACAGAACAATAACATCCATTAAACACAAGTCTATAGATAAGATAAACGTCTCTGCAGACCTAATGCAAAATGTTAAGTAGTAGAAGTTTCCCCTTGTGATCAGGACAGTATTTCAGATCAGTTCAGAAAATGAAACATGGAGTTTTGCCCCTAAAAACAGTATTTCTGAAGTAAAACCATCTGCAGAGTCTTTCTACTTTTACAGTTAAACTCCAGCTGTGTATTTACTTGTGAGATAAGTTAAGATGTACTTTATTGATCCTAAATTGGGATTTGTTTCCGTTGCAGCAGCATTACAAAACAAGGCATAACTAGAAATTAAAAGAGTAGAAATAAACAATTCTAAAATAGAAGCATCTCAAAATAGAAATATAAAAAAATGTGTAAACTATCTGGCAAATAAAACACTATTTAAGGGCCAATTTTCCAAAACAGTAACACAATATAAAGCCGGATATTATTTACATTAAGTGTGCGAGGAATGGAATATTAATATAAATATAAATGTATAGTTTGAATTGGACATTCAAATAGGGCTGTCACAATATCAGATTTCCACCTCCCAATTATAGTGGCCAAGAAGAGATCCTGATAACGATACTATCTCAATAATACTAATAATAATAATAACATTTCAATTCTAAAATAAATATTGCTATGAGTTAGAAATCAATTTTGAACTCTGATATTATTAAGAGTTTTGTATCTTCTATTATAGGGAGGAGGAATGAGTCTGTTACAAGATATGGTGGCTGTATTATAAAAGAATGCACAGACAGCATGAAAAATATGTTTAGCTTACATGTCTCACATTTCTTTTCCTCACAGACGGCAAAAAAAGTCAAACATTATA